ATGATGTAATCTATGCAGAAATAGAAGTATAATGATGTACACCTGAAATTTATACAATGTTATAAACCAATGTTACTGCAATAAACAAAAAATTTAAAAAAAAAATTGAAGGAAAAATAAAAAAACTCTATTAAAAAAAAGGTCCTCAAAAGAAAAACAAATGGTCCCTAGACATATGGAAAAAAAATTAAGTGACAAGACAATATTTTTACCCTAGAAAGTACACATATTTTAAAAGTTAAACGCTAATATTCAATGTAGTTTTTTATTGCTTCCAAAGCATTCACGTTATCATTTCTTTGTCCCAAAAGAACCCAGAATCTCAGAACCACGGGGTTCAATACGGTTCCTCAGTTCCACGGATGGGCCATCATGGGTCTGAGCAAATCAACGTGCCTTAGGGATCTGTCCCATGACGGGAAAGCAGAATGGAACCCAGGCCTGAGCAAATCAGCAAATCACATTCCTTAGCCACTAAGATTGGTTCAAAGATGAGCTTGCAACTTAAGATGATACAATCAAAAGGACGATCAGACTTGTTGGATAACTGGGCAAAGAGAAGATCTGTTTTCCTTTCCATGTGAACGAGGAGGCTCATGGCTCTGAGAGCTGCTGGCAGCCAACCTGCTACCTTGAGGGTGTCGGCTAAAGAACAAAGTCAACCACCATGAAGGGCAAAGGCAGGAGGGTCTCGGCAGATGGAGTCATAGTCCTGGTGACAACATGACCTTTGGGGTCAAACCACACCTGAAGCCTGCCCTGCCTCTGGACTTTTCAATTAAAGGAGACAAAAAATTGCGTTTTATTACTGGAGTCAGTGTCAGTTATGATTTTTCTTACTTGCAAACAAAATTATTCTATCTTATACAGCAGTGTCAATAAGGATTCTGGAAAACTGACGTCAATAGGCAGCTGGTAGAAATAAAATCTGAAACTACCTTTTGGAGGGCAATTTGGTGATATGTATAAAAAGATCTAAATACGGGCATACCCTTCAACCTAATATATAAACTTGTAAGAATTTATTCATTCATTCAACAAATATTTAAGCATTTCTTAGGTGCCAAACACTATTCTAGGAGTCAGGGGTTTATCAGTAGACAAAACAAAATCCCTTATGGAACCAGCCTTAGGAAATAATCAAGGATTTATCAACAAGGATGTTAACTTCAGAGCCTTTTGTAGTAGGGAACAATTGGAAATAATATAAATGCCCAACAAAAGGGGATTGCTTAAATAAATTTTGGGGCATTGACATGATAAAATGCTATTTAGGCATTTACAATTGCAGAAACTATTTAATGATAGGGAAAAATATTCACCATATATTATTAAGTGAAAAAAGCTGATAGTAAAATAGAATGTGAAGGGTAACTCATGTTTGTACACTTACATGTGTATATTTATGTACGAGAAACACCTGATATTAGACACTTTAAAATGCTATGTTATTTTAAGTAGAATTGTGGGTGATTTTGATTTTCTTCTTTGTACATCTTTATGCTTTTTCATAATTTTCTGTCATGAATATGCCTTTCCTTTGTTAGCAAAGAACACAGCAATCTTACAAAATGATCTCAAGTTTAAATTAAAAAGTAAATGAATAACAACAACAACAACAACAACAAAATTGTTTGGGGGCTGGCCCCGTGGTGCAAGCGGTTAAGTGCGCGCGCTCTGCTGCAGTGGCCCGGGGTTCGCCGGTTTGGATCCAGGGCGCGCACCGACGCACTGCTTGCCAAGCCATGCTGTGGCAGCGTCCCATATAAAGTGGAGGAAGATGGGCACGGATGTTAGCCCAGGGCCAGTCTTCCTCAGCAAAAAAAGAAGAGGATTGGCAGACGTTAGCTCAGGGCTGAACTCCTCACCAAAAAAAAAAAAAAAAAAGTTTGAAACATATCCCCAGCGATTAAAATGGTGAACTTTATGTTATGTGTATTTTACCTCCCCCCACCGACACACACAGTGACAACAAGATCATCACAGTAAAAAAAAAAAAAAAAGAGCTCCACATTAGAACAGCCCTGTGCCCTTATCAAAAGATCCCTGGGTCAAAACTGCTGCATCCCAGAAGGCTCCCCAAACGGTATGTTGTCCAGCCCCACGTCAGCTCACAGGCTCACCTTCCAGAGTTCTAGAATGTCAGGTTGGCATAGGGTGCAGGGTTTCAGTGAGGGTCAACGTGACCCTCTCTAACTGAGTGTGACACTTTGCACCCCATCAGCCCCAGAAGGAGCGTGAGCTACTCCAATATCACACCCTTGTCAAGTCGGGTCTGAGGCTGCCTGCATTACATACCCCACCACTGACCCCACCCCTGAGGGGATCCTGGGGGCTCAAGGGGCCAGTGTCACACGCACCATCACAATCTGGGTTCCTGGGCGCAAGGCCATCTCGTCTGCCGCCGAACCTGGGGTGACCCCGTGAATGAAGATACCCGTGAGGTTCCCGCCGATGATGCTTATCTGCTCCAGCAACGCATCTCCCTGGAAGGCCAGCACCGTGACCTGGCTCAGGATCTTGCGGGCCGGCCTCCGCCGCACTGGGGCGTTGCTACAGGAAGGGAGGTAAGGGAGCTTGTGTGCAGCCAAGAGCAGGAGGTGAGGCCAGGCCATCTCCCCATTGGCCCCCCTCCAGCCCCAGCATTCTGGAATTCTCCATCCCCCGCCATGACCCCATCCCTGGAAAGGCTGTCACCTCCCAACAGTGATAGGACACAGTCTTCACTCTGCCCTGCCACCTGCCTTCCCTGGTCCCAGATCGCCGCTCACCTGGCCGAGATGTAGAGGCCCCCAGAGAACGGCTGCAGGCTGCCCTCCGACTCAGGAAGATCTAGGAGGAAGCTGAGGGTTTAGGCACCGAGCCAGGCTAGCGCATGTGGTTGCCCCACTCCTGATGGAGCTTCTGCTCACCAGCACAGCCTCAGTGCCCCCCGCCGCAGCCTCAGGCACCCGCTACCCGTTCTGTCCCCATCGCTGAGGCTGAACCTCCTCTTCCTCCTCCCTTCGCCACTGCTCAGAACCTTGATTCATCTTCCCCCAAGCAGGAGGAGCTGGTGGAGAGCTGCAGCTCCCAGGGCTTGACCTACGTTGTGATATTTCAATGAGTTGCCAACATTTTACAAGATAGGGAATCTAGAATCTGGACTTCTGGCTCCACTGGAAGAATCAAATCTGGTGTAACCCTAGGCCTGCATTTCTGCGTGGCAGCAATTGCCACCAGCCATCTGCTGCCTCCTACTCGCCCCAGGCCACACTGCTACTCAGCTGGCCGTGGTGGGCCTCTGAGTCGGCAGTCTGTAGGGTCCCTCCAAGCTCTCGCATTTTATTTTTTTATTATTATTATTTTTTTATAATTTTATTTATTTTTTTTCCCCCAAAGCCCCAGTAGATAGTTATATGTCATAGCTGCACATCCTTCTAGTTGCTGTATGTGGGACGCGGCCTCAGCATGGCTGGAGAAGCAGTGCATTGGTGCGCGCCCGGGATCCGAACCTGGGCCGCCAGCAGCGGAGCGCACGCACTTAACCGCTAAGCCACGGGGCCGGCCCAGCTCTCGCATTTTAACATGCAGCCTGTGAGGCAGATGGGCCCAGAGCCCAGGCAGCAGCCTTCCTGGAGGTCCATCCTGGAGGGTCTGTGGCTGCCCTTCTCACTTTGCGGACTGCTCGCACGGACCAGAGAGCTGGCAGAGAGCTAACAGTTGCCTGCTCCGGGCAGCCTGTGCCCAACTCACAGGCAAAAATCCATTCGTGCTTACATTCAAAGCCAAATGAAATTAGACACTCCTGATGTATTTGAGGTCAATTCTACTAAAAGTACCTGAAGCCAGGACATCATGTAGAATCACCACGAAAGAAAATTAAAGAGTGGTAATCCTCCCTGCTCATGATCTCACACCCAGGTCAGATATGCCTTGGGTGGATCCTCTCAACTGATCGCTGTTATAAATAAAAATGCCAGTGATTTTGCAAGAGTTATGATTTCTGGTCGTGTGACCCACAGAAAGCCCTGGGCCACCTGCCCCAAAGGTGCTGCTGTGGGGGACAGCGTGGGGCACGCACGCCCCCTGGTGGCCATGGGGTGAATTCCAGACAGAGTCCTAAGCACCTACTGTGTGCAAGGCCCAACGCTGCGGGCAGATGTGCAGGGTGGCAAAAGTGACGAGGCTGTCCATGAGGGGCCTGTGCCTTGAGAAGGAGAGAGGACCAGTTAAGTCACACGTATAAGGAATCAGCCACAAGAGAAAAGAGAAGGTCTCAGGCACCGACACCCCGAAGGAGAGATGCTCCCAGCAGGTGCCTTGGCCAGGAGCAATGAGGACTTAAGCCTGCTGCCTTCTGATATCACTGGGAGGCCTAAGTGTCCACAGGTCTGAGCAGGGAGGAACAGAGAGAGAGAACATGTGTGTCTGCAGCTGTCCGAATGTCTGTGCTGAGCTGGATGGGACATGAATGCAACTCCCACAGCCTCTGGGCGAGAAATAAAAAGGGCACTTGGTAAACAGCAGTGTCTGAGCACCGGCCTGAATCCACAGGCAGCCTGGGTTTTCCCAGAGGCCCAGGGCAGGGCAGCGGTCAAGTTTGCTTCTCTCTGCCCAGCCCCTGGAGAGAGACCGGGTGTCTCCCCTGTCTCCCTGAAGATCCCTGTCCTCGCTCCCCCGCCTGCTCTGCCGGCCCAGCCCAGGGGAGGTGGGCAGCTGCAGAGGTTTGGGGTGTGGTGTGCTCACTTGCCCTGTCTACAATCCCATAATCCAGGTCTGCGTTGCCCGTCCTAGCTCCCGGGGTGGCGTCTCGGTCTTTCTCCAGGGTTTCCGGGAAGTCACTGCAAAGCATGAGAAGAAGCAGCTCAGGCTGTATCGCCTGCTCCCTGTCTTGAATGCAGAGCCCCCAGCACCTGCCCGGCCCTCGCTCTAGGCCAGTGTGCCCAGAGGGCTGCCAGAGAGCCTGAGTCATCCAGAGACCATCACCAATCCCTCTCTACCTGAAAGACTGGGGGTCTTCCCAGAAGTTCTCCGTGGCCCGCTTGTACAGGGACTGCTGGCTGGGAGGCACCGGGCTGCTGGAGCGGAAGCTGTCCACCAGCTCGCGGCTGGACGTGGCGCTCAAGTCAGACCAGACCTGGGACCGGGGGAGGACAGGGCAGAGGTCAGCATGGGGCTCATAGAGGAGCCCTTGCGGACCTCTTCCACTGCCCCACTGTGTAAGGGGAATAAGAATAACAGGCTATGGCCCCTAACTGTCAGGGCAGCAGAGGCGAGAGGGAGGGAAGGCAAAGCACATAGCTAGGTGACATTAATTGAGCACCCACTATGTGCTGGGCGCTCTATTAGCCACTTTTCACATTTTACATCACTCAGTTCTCACAATCAATCTACACAGTGGGGAATATTGTCCCACTTGATATATAACGCAACTGAGGCCAAGTTACTGGCCAGTGAGGATCACGTGCTGACGGTGTAACGTGCAAGTGCGGAGCATGGTGCTGGGTACTGAGTGTGTGTGTAGATCTGAATGCAGCCCCTCATTCATGTATTTCTTTAGCACCTACTGTGTGCCAGGCTCCCTTCTGTCCCAGTAGACGAGGGTGCGCCTGGTCCGACCCCAGCAGCGGAGGAGGCACCGGCCATACCTCAGTGGAACTGAGGCAGCTGCAGTCGCTGTCGTCCGGCGGGTAGATGGCAAACATGCGCACCAGCCGCTGTTTCCCCCTCGGACAGGGCTCCCTGGCCCCCGCTTCCTGCCTGGGCTGCCAAAGATGGCAGATGGGCTGGTTAATTCAAGAAAGTTCCTTTGGGTGCCCTTGGGGTTTCCACCAAGTCAGCCCACCCCCATCTCCACCCTCCCAGACAGTTTCTTCTCATTAGCCTCCAGGCAAAACAAACAATTTATGTCCCCTCCTCCGTGCCTGGGACTCCCGGCACTACAGGAGCTGACCACCATGGACGTGGAAAGCCACTGGCTTGGTGAATGGCACTTCATTTCTTTTACAGAATATATGCGGCTTTTTACTGGCTATTCAAATAATATATACTATATGTCTTACATATATATATATACATGCCACATAGAATATTGGGGGGAAAACAGAGAGATTAGAGAATAAAATAAAATTCACCCATTCTCCCACACTCAGAAACTGCACAGTTAGCATTTTCCTGTCTGTCCGTCAGTATTTCTTCTGTATATATATATATTTTTGGAACATGGTTGATGCAGGGAGGGGTGCAGGAGGAAGGGCTGGGGCCCCTGCATAGGGAGGGGAGGGTCTGACTGTGCCTCACCAGGTCCCGGGCACCTCTGAAGAGTCTCCCCCACCCATCAGGGTGCCTGGAGCTGGTGCTGCCAGCAGGACCGTAATCAGAGGTTTTACAGTAATTTTAGCTCTTTGGGAACATAGCTCCCTTCATGCATGTAAGTCTGTCACTCAGCTCTTGGACATTTGACTTTGAAACATCTCAGGAAGGCATCACCTACAAAAGTAAGGCTGCCTGCACAGTTTCCTACGCTGCTTTCCTTCTTCATTGAACACCACACTCCAGCCCTGCCACCCTACGTCCCCAGCCCCACGCAGGTGAAGTGCTCACCCCCGGCAGTGACTCCGTCTGCTGCCTGCGGAGCTGTTGGCGCAGTTCGCAGACTTCGTCTGTCAGCTCAAACACTTTCCTGCGGAGCGCGTCCTTCTCGGTCAGGTTCTGAGAAATCTCCATCTGGGCTCCATCTCTCGCAGAGTAGGCCTGGGGGCCAAGACATATCGGACACCCAGAGCATAAAGAGGCCGAGCCAACAGGATGCAGGAGACCCAACCAGAGAAAGCAACGCTTTTCTTGTCTGCCTTTGTCCTGGAGGCATCCAGTGTGCACCAAACACAAGCTCACTCTGAGATGCACAAGCTTACCATCGTTTACAATTCATGTCAACATACATGGGTTTAATAACACCCAATATGTGGGTGAACACAAACACCTTGTGCCGGAAATGGAAGGAGGCAGGATGATGCACAGTGAGCATGTAGATTACAGAAACCTTGAATGGATCAAGGAGAGAGAACCCGAATCTGGAACCAGCTGCCATTAAGGGCGGGGTGACCTGTGTGAGTCGGCCAGCCAGCCCTCAGTAGAACCTAAACCCAGAGAAGCAGTGGCCAGGGGCTTCCCGAGCAGAGACTCAGCCAAGGCAGGTTCCTTCTGTTCTCTCTGAGCCCCTCAGCCCGGCCCCCAGGCCAGCCCCTGCCTCTCCTGGGGTACCTGGTCCCGCTCCTTCTGCAGCTCGACCACCTGGCTCTGCAGGGCATTCATCTTCTCCTTGTAGATCTCACAGTCCACCTTAGTTTTCTGGAACTGGAGCAGGGTCTGCTCCTTCTCTTCCCAGTACTGGACAGAGGAGGGGAGACATAGCCCATGAAGGTCAGTGGCTCTGAGAGTGGGGCTGAGGATGGGATGGGGCTGGGGTGCCTCGGGGAGAGACACGGGGCTGGTTCTAGGGTGAAATAAGGTGAATTCATGCTCCTTTCTTTTTTTGTGTGAGGAAGATCAGCCCTGAGCTAACATCCACGCTAATCCTCCTCTTTTTACTGAGGAAGACTGGCTCTGAGCTAACATCTATTGCCAATCCTCCTCCTTTTTTTCCCCCAAAGCCCCAGTAGATAGTTGTATGTCATAGTTGCACATCCTTCTAGTTGCTGTATGTGGGACGCAGCCTCAGCATGGCCAGAGAAGCGGTGCGTCGGTGCACGCCCGGGATCCGAACCCCGGCCGCCAGTAGCAGAGAGCACGCACTTAACTGCTACGCCACGGGGCCGGCCCCATGCTCCTTTCTTAAGTGCTAGTTTTCCAGGGGCATCTGCAGAGTTGCTGTGCTGACTGGATTTGAATTCAGTCATCGAAAGATGCATGAGTGAGGCATGTGTAATTGCTTTGTTTATTCCACATCCCAAAATGCATAAATAATTTCCCTCCACCGCCTCATTCTCTTTCTCCTTGTCCTCCCCTCACCTTTTGTAGCAACTAAATAAATCCTCTGCTCTCACCCCGGGGCCCCCATGCACTTGAAATCACCCTGTGTTTTAATCACTTGTCAGCCTGACGTCTTTCCTCACCACCCCACAGACTGGACGTGACCTCTAGTCTTGGACTGTGAGTTGGTGCTCAATGTAGCTTTGAGGAAGGAATAAATGAACAGACCAACACATCAGTCAGGCAAAATTGGTTTTAAGCTCCGGGTGGATTGAAGAATCTGTCTGCCCCACACATGCAGCCATGCTTGTGGACGCAGCCCTGAAGGGTCACCTGCTTTTGCTGCCTCTCGGCAGCCACAGCCCGCTCCCTCAGAGAGTGGATACGGTCCACCAGCTCCTGCTTGCTCTCCAGGGCCTCGTCAAGGTTCTGCTCCAGAATGTCCTTCTCCGCCTGGTGCAAAGAGAGGTCAGCCCAGGGACCATGACTCTCCCAAAGGCCTGCCCTGGGGAAGCAGCCCCTTCACCAGCGACCCGAGAATAGGCAGCAGGAAGCTTTAAGGCTGGGTGTGTGGACAGATTTAGCCTTATAATTGTATGTTAGGCAAGGAAAAAGGCCATGTCAACAATCAAAATGGGAAACATGCATTTCAGTTCTACTCATGCCCAGTAGAGGAGACAGAAAACAAAGGAAGCTGAAAGCCCAGGACAGCAATTCCTCCTGTCAGGCAGTTTCAGCCCGCTCTTCAACAAATCCACCTGCAGGGTTTCCGAGAGAGGGAAAACCATGTTATTCTCTCTCACACTCACTTTTCAGGAGGGGCTCATGAACTATGGCACAGTCCAGGCTGTGTGACGGGCAGTGCCAGTGCAAGGGCCTGCCTTCCACCCAGACAATGTCTATGGAAGGAATATCTCCATAAATAGATATTTATTGATTGAAGGAATCCAAGAGGAGAAGCAAAGCGTTTGCATAATCCCAGGGTTTTGGCGTCACTAATCTCTCCGCTTCCTGTAATTCCCCACTCTCCAATGCACATGTGGGCAGGACGGCAACTTTAAAGATTTTATTTATTTATTTTTTCCCCCAAAGCCCCAGTAGATAGCTGTGTGTCATAGCTGCACATCCCTCTAGTTGCTGTATGTGGGACGCGGCCTCAGCATGGCCGGAGAAGCAGCGCGCTGGTGGGAGCCCGGGATCCGAACTCGGGTCGCCAGCAGTGGAGCGCGCTCACTTAACCACCAAGCCACGGGGCCGGCCCATGGACGGCAACTTTAAAGCTAATCCCGTCATTTATAATCAGCCAGATCCACTCCAAAACAGTACAGCAGCACACACAAGCTGGGTGGGACATTCTAATGAGCATCCAATAGCTGTGAATTCTGCCAATGTTTGGGGGCTGGGGAAGAGCAGGAAGGAGGGATGTAATGAGCAACAGTAGAGGCGAGTCACTAGGTGTCATCTCACCCGGTCCTTAGCCACACCTCAAGGAACCACCTGTCAGAAATCCACAGCCTGGAGGCCCCAGGCCGATGCCGAGGAAACACCCAATTAGCTCCCAGGGAGGAAACCAGGACCTACTAGGCTGAAAGTCAGTGACCGGAGTTGCTCATTCTCCTCCTTCAGGCGGTTTAGCTCCTCGTCTCCAGGCTCCAGGATGCTGGCCACCTTCAGGGACCACTCTTGAAACTCGCGCTCACAGGAAGAAGACGCCTTCTCTCGCTGCAGCTCTTGCTTCATCAGATACAGCTGTCCAGGGAGGAGATTGAGAGGCAGGATGATGTAAATACTGTTTCTCCACTAGACGAGAAGCCAGGTGTGTTTCTCAACCTTTCTCCTTAATGATGATGCTGTCCATACTCAAAGGGGTACTTCCCTCGAGATTTCAAAATCGATTGAAGTGTTTTACCTAGTGAATAGTCCCAATTCCTTGTGGGAGGAGAAAGGCACATTAGCTTTATTTTATAGTTGGGGCTGGGGTCCCCAGGAACAGAACAAGGAGCCCTGGTAACCAGCTCTTGGATCATCTCTATTGTGAAACTGATAGTCACTGGCAGCCAGTGATGAATGGCCCGTGAGTAAGTCTCTCTCAGCACGCTTCCTGGCTTCTCTGCCCTTCCATATTCTGCTAAGTATGTCAGATAAAGGGAATTTGGATTCACGAAAATCGGTAAGTAAAAAGAAAGAGGAAAGTAAGTCAGATGGGGCAGAGATGCCTGGGAATGCAGGACCCGGTCTGTTCAGACACACATCCGAGTGTAAATATGTGCTGTCTCCCACCCAGCGGGCTGCATGTGCAGGGCCGTGGTCCTCTGGAAATCACCTGGCTAGGTCCTGCTGGCCTCCACCCTGCTGCAAAGTGGCCCAAGAGAACCCTGGACCTTGAGCAGATGGACCTGGCCTCTCCCCATCCCGGGTGTGGCGCCCCTGAGGAGAGGGGACTTCCCACGTAAGGCAAACCAGGAAGTCTGGACCTCAGGGTGGAGTCTGGTGCTCACTCTGGGGCTGGAGTCAAGTGGAGAAGGAAAAACTTTCCCCCTGGGACTTTTTCCTTCCCAACATCTAGTTAGCAAACTCTCCATAAGCAATTAGTGAGTTCCTGCTATGGGGCAACCAGGTTAGGCTTGTCATATTCTACATATTCAAAAAGTAAAATTAAATCATTAAGATCTGGAAAGGGAGGACCTGAAATTGAAAGTAAACTGAAACAAATGAACTAATTCTATTTCAAACAAATACCACAGTGACAACAAAGAGAGAAAGAGAAAGGGAAGGGATGGAGAGATGAGGGGCAGCTATGATAACTTATGACACAGTATTTAACTACAAACTGTCAGCCCTGGGCAGGGTTGGGTTGGGGGGTGGATTACAAATCCTGTACTCTTCTCCGGAGGTTTGCTTACTGTTCAGGTACGGACAGAGTGACTCTGAAAGCATTGTAGATGGACTATAGGATCGAGCAAGTGAGTGTGTTGACATTGGGAGCCAGGTTCTCACTGAGGAAGAAGGAGCATGCAAGCACGGAAGGAGGAAGGCAAGAAAAAACCCTGGGGGATCGACTGGAATTAGAGACGGGGGTGTGAACTCATGTTTCTAAAGCATGTGTATGTATGTGTGTGTGCATACCTGTGTGCGTATATGTGTATGTATGTTTGCATGTGTGTGTATATATGTGTATTCATGGCATGTTTCCTGGCTCTGTCCCCCGAAAGAGTCAAGGAGCAAAGATACCCCAGAAGCCATAAGCACACCTAGTGCTCAGATCTTGGTCTCTAAAAGTAACCAGGGCCCCTCAGAGAAATGGCTGACCCTGGAGCTGGGGCAGGGTGGGTAGAGATGATCCTGGAACATCTTGTGATGCCGGAAAGGGAGTCAGGGCTTAAAGTGAAGGGGCGTGTCACAGGACATGGAGCAGACTGAAGGGGCTTCCACTGGCCAAATCTGGGACAACCTGAGCGCCAAACTCACTCAGGACAGTAATACGTTACAGACCACTGGAAACAGGAGTCCACGCTTCTGTGCCAATAACAGATGCATAAGCGAGGGGAAGGCAAGGCTCCTTCTCACGCTCAGGATGCCGAGGGCCAACTGGCCAACTGGAGGGAGAGCTGAAGATGGGGCTCACTCATCACTTTGCAGCCGCCAGGGTGAAGATGCATTTGGGCAAGAATCACCAATGAGACCAAGTCTGGGGGAAATGTCGCCAAGGAGCAGGTTGTCTGCTGGTCTCAAAACGCCTCCCCCGCCCCCATTCTTTATTAGCTACAGGGAAGAAAAAGAAATAGGGATTATGTAGTGGAGATATCGGGCAGCACCTGGACCAGGCAGGCGTTATTAACATCACTAGTGAGGGGCGCTGAACCTTGTGCCTCCTGATGGGGTGCCCTGAGCTGGGCCCCACGTTCCCTGTGCAGGGCCCTTGCCAAAAACCCATCACCCCGTTTACTCATGAGGAAACGTGAGACAAACCCCAAATGAGGAGCCATCTCCTCATTTCTTCAAAAATGTCCATGTTGCCACAGACAAAGAAAGGCTGAGGGAATGTTTTAGATTAGAGGAGGCTAAGGAGACAGGACAACTAAATGCAGCACCTGGTCCTGGACTGGATCCCGCACTGGAGGGGAAATGCTATAAAGGATGTTATTTGGGTCAAATGATAAAATTGGAACACGGATGGGAGATTAGGTAAAAAGATTGCATCAAGGTAAATGAGTGAAGTGGATAACTGTGCTATGGTTATATGAGAGAATATCCTATTTTAAGGAAACATACATTGAAATGTGTAGGGGTAAAGGGCCATGATGTCTGTAACTCAAGTGGTTCAACTGCGTGTGCGTGTGTGTGTGTGGAGAGAGACAGAGAGGAGAGAGAGTGCAAATGATAAAGTAAAGGTATGTGGGTGTCCGTTGTACTATGTTTATTTGTATACTTTTTTTTAATAAATTTGAAATTATTTCTAAATAAAGTTAAAAATTAAAAAGCTAAAAACAAACAAACAATGCCATAGTTAACGGAAAAAAGCAAATGACAAAATGACAAGGAATGAATAGCCTCAGTATTTACAAAACTCCCACAAATCAATAAGAAGATAATTATCCCCAACGGAATAATGAGTAAAAGACCTTGTTGGGGTTTGAGCGCCTTCCTACTAACACTCCTCTTCTCCCGCCGGCATCCAAGACCAGCTGAGAAAGACAGAGGGGCCGATAGAGGTCCACTGCCCCTGGGTACTGAAGCGGCTGGAGGGGAGGAACCTAGGTAGGTCCACTTCTATGGAGCCCAGAAAAGCCAGACCTGCCCCCAGACGTAGGCCGGTGGGCGTCCTGCCTTGGGGTCCCCACTACCTCCTCCTGCAGGCTGCGGCAGCGCGTGGCGGCCAGCTCCTTCTCCCGCAGTGCGTTGCTGTAGTGCAGCGAGAGGCTGAGCATCTCGTCCTTCAGCTTCAGCACCTCGTGGAAGTGGGCGCTGACCTCGCGCTTCATGCGTCTGTGGTCGGCCTCCAGCTGGCACAGGCTCTCGGTGCGGGCCTCGGCCTGGCCCAGGCGCTCCTGCAGCCGCCGGCACTGCTGCAGCAGTGCCTCCTTCTGCCCCTTCTCCTGGCTCAGCTCCTCCTGCAGGCTGCTGATGGCCCCCGCCAGGCACTCAGTCAGCTTGGACGTCTCCATGAGCCCTGCGGGAGAGGGGCAGGGGGCCCAGGCATTGCCACCACGGCTTTTGCTCCTTATCCTCCAGGATCCTTGCATTCTGTGCCCAGACTCTCAAGCAGGGCCCCCCCACCTCAATCTGTTGGTCTCCTTAAAAGCTTTGGGGCTCGACCAGACTTGATATTTTGGTTAAATAAATAGCATAACTCGAGATTTTGGTACAAGGATTATCCACTCTCAGCTTCCCTGTGGGACCCAGCTGTTCAGACACAACTCCCCACCTCATCAGCCAGGACGGGCTCAATGCTAACTCATTTTAATGTCATCCTAAGGAAGAACACAACCAGGAATATGAATCTGTCTAATAGAACTCTAAATAACATAAACATGGACTCTGGTGCCAACAGGCAGAAAAGTTTTCTTATTCACAGTTTTGAGTGATGTCCTGCTCCTTTGAATACCTAGATCTTTCTACAGCTCCTCCAGGGAAGCCTTGAATTAGTCAATTAATGAAAATGGCCTTATCTCCCACCAAGCCAGCGTAAAGCTTTACTTAGCCAGCAGAGCAAATGCACAGAAGGCTGCAGGCTCCACTCCTTTTCCCCTCTGGCAGGGGCCTCTCCATCCATGGTCTCCCCACTAGGGCAGACCCCAGGAATGGGCTGCCCCTCCACCTCAAGCACATGCCACCTGGCAAGGTAAAGGCCACCTCAGGAGCTTTTCTAGGGAAAGGACATGCTTCCTCTTTGCCCATGCCTCTCAAATGCAGATTCTGCGCCTTCGAGAGGCCTCCTCTTGGTGCTAGATAATTAGGGACACACTTTTTCCTTTAGAACCCAAGGCCATGGGCTCCTTCTCCTACCCACCCCCACTATGGTTAGTGGAGGGGAGGGGGGTTTCCTCGCCCGCAGAGTGATGGGCACAGGGATGGGGAACCTCTGCCTGGAGGGAGCAGGGAAAACGTCTGGAACAGCATGCAGCCAAGGCGTGCACCCCCCCACCCCCCTGCAGGTTACTGTGAATGAGAGGCTGCGGGGAAGCCCCCACCAATTCCCCAATCAAAGACTGAGCTCTCACCACTGAAGTTGCTGAAGTCCACGTCAGGCTGCAGCCCGGTGACCAGGGTGTAGACGTCAGGGTTGTGGAACTTCAGGCTCTCCAGGAAGGCGATGGCCCCGTTCTTCCCTCGAGTCCTCAGCAAGTCCAGCAAGTGCCCTTGGGAGAGAGAAAGTCTTAGCTAACAAGGCGCTGGGCAGCCTGGGAGGGTTTCCCCATGAGGGTGGCAGGATGTGGGGACGGGGAATTCTTGCGCATCTAGGAATGAGGACCCCTGTGGAGGGAGCCCTCACTACTCTGGGAGGATCCTTTTATTGATGTGATGAGTCAGTCTCGAGAGGGCTGAGGCTGATATTTCTTGAGCATCTACTATGACCCAAATTGGGGATAAAGACTAAGGAAGATGATCCTTGTTCTCAAGACCTCCCAGGCATGTTGGTGGAGGCATGTAGACATGTGTGTATAAAGTGCGTGGGAGGAAAGAAGCAAATAGCAGAGCCCCGGGGCCTGGGTCCCAGAGAGCCTCGGGGTCTTCCAAGCCCCCGCAGATCCCAGGGCTCTCAGCTTGAATTACTAGGTTGGGTTCATTTCTTCTGTATTTGAGACTCATAAGGCAACAGGCACAAATAGTATTATGTTAAAGCTACATACATATATTTACATCTTATAAAGAGTAACTCATTCAGTTCTCCTAACAACCTGATGTGGTGAAGCTGTTAGCTTCCCTGTTTTTGAATGAATAAACACAGCTGGTCCGACCGTCGGGGTCAGCTCCAAAGACATCTAGAGGGGGTTGAATGGTGGCCCCCCAAAGGATACATCCACCTGGAAACTGTCAATGGGACCTCATTTGGAAAAGGGTCTTTGCAGATGTAATTAAGGTAAGGATCTCAAAATGAGATCATCCTGGGTTATCCAGATGGGCCCCAAATCCAATGACAAGTGGAGACACAAAGGAAGCCATGTGACGACAAAGGCCAAGATTAAAGTGATGCAGCCACAAGCCAAGGAAGGCCTAGGGCCACCAGCACCTGGAGGAGGTAAGGAATTTCCTCCCTAGAGCCGTCAGAGGGAGCACGGCCCCACTGACACCTTGCTTTCAGACCTTTGACCTCCAAACTGCGAGAAAATACATTTCTGCTGTTTGAAGCCACCCAGTTAGTGGTCATTTGTTTCAGCAGCCCTGGGAAACTAATAGTGTCCTCAGGTCTGGAACTCAGGTCCCCTCGGTATTGTTCCTTAAAGTCCTGCACTCCCTGCCCTCACACGGGGCTTCACAGCACAACCTGTGTTGAGCCAGCTCGGCAGAAAGGGCCCGCCCGGAGCCGTGGTGGCCAGGACCCGAGGCCAGTGGCCGTGTGCCGGCCCAGGTCCTCACCGGCTCTCATGGCGGTGTTGGTGAACCTGGGGCTGTGCAGCACCTCCTCCTCGTCCAGCTGGCCCAGCACCTTCGCCTGGCGCAGGTAGGGGGTGAGGCGACTGGGGCAGATGCTGTGCACAATCTTGTAACGGTGGCTCTCCATCATCTCCCACAGCATCTCCTCGCCCAGGGCTGTCAGCGTGGAGTCCCTGCGGCACAGTTCCGCCATGACTGGGGGCCTGACCCCTGGATGGAGAGGGTAGCAATGGAGGGCTGGCATCAGTGACATGGCTTCCGGGCCCGGGGAGGTCTTTCCATTCAAGCCCCCTTTCCCCACATCACTGGTAGGGAAGGAAATGACCAATTCAGAGAGGACGATGACACCTGCCCTGGCCCTGCTGTCCCACGACCAGCGAGAGGGGACTACCCATCCTTATCATTGATGTCAAGTCAATTCCTCTACCGGGGACAGAGCAAGAAGAACCGGGTTTCTTTCAGTTTCAGGAGACTGGATTTGCCTTTAAAACACAGGAAGCTGCCTCTGCCCAGGAAACTGATTGACGAGATCGGTCTAGAACATGCATTCTCCACGCGGTGATAGAGCCCGCAAGGGGGTGAAAATTGGTTCCTGAGCAAAAATTCTAACTCTTCTATGTATAAAGCACAGACGTGCATACACAGATATACAGTACACCTGTGAAACTAATATTTCAGGGGAGGGCGATTAGGGAAAAGTTGTCTAAAAATGCTCCCTAGGGGTGATAATGAAAGAAGGGTGGAGAAACCCTGCCCTAGCATCAACATGAAGGTTTGGACAATCAATCCCGCAACCCAACAACCAGAGGCGGTGCCCACAGTCTCCATCACAGGGCTTGGGGGGCAATCTGGGGGGAAGCAGGGCTGGCAGAAAGGGTGCTTGCACAGAAAGCACTCTGCTTTTGCTGGGTGTGGCGGGCATCTGTCATTTTTCACATGGAGGTAATGCCCCTTTATGAGGGGCTGGAGGACCCCGCCTTCTGGTCAGAAGCCAAAGTGGGCAGACATTCCCTCTCTTTGCTCCTGGCGGCTGTAATGCTGAGTACCTGCCCAGGTGAGAGCACCTGCCCAGAACCCCGAGCCCTGCCTGCACGGCAAGTGGAGAGGACTCCAGGCAGCGGGGCAGAGCCAAGGCGCACGCCCAGCACGGACATATTAGTCAAATGGTTTGTGGAGGCCATCATCTTTCGCAAACTGATCAGGGAGCAGAAAGAACACCTTTCCAACCACAGGGCTTCCCTGGCTGCAGCCGTTTTAGAGCGACCTTTACAGTTTTGCCATATCCAGTGTCCCCCCAGGCGCTGAGCCTCTAACACACGCGAGTCCCATGGCACCACCTGCTTGAACCTAACCTAAACAATAACGTCAGTAAGCAGGGCTTGCTGTGCCAGTTATATCTTTTCCTAAATAAAGTTAAACTAAATAATTAGATATTAAAATAAAAAAAATTCACCTAAAATAACGGTAATAGTGCTGCACTTTGGAAATGCTGCTGTATACACTTGTTCCTGAAATGTTATTTTCATTATAACCAAGACTGCTGGCTTCTCCAGAGTAGGAACACGAGGATGCACAGGCGGAGTGGGACGGAGGGTGATTAGACTGAGGGCACGGCAGCCCCAACAAGACAAAAGGTGAGCATCATGGAGAAGGAGTAAGGGAGGAAGAGGCCCATGTCAAACCCCCGGAACGTCCCACCGTGTTTTTTAAAATGCCCATAGATTTTCCTGAAAAATTCTTAACTTGAAAGACTGTTGCTTATTTGGGGGACATTTAGGAAGGCTGGCTGTCAGAGGCCACCTTGAAACTCCCCTGGAGGAATTCCTTGTGTAAGAGGTATTTCTTCCCCTGGGTTATAATTCTCAACAAGGAGAGTGTACTGGGTTGAATAGTGTCCCTCCAAAATTCATGTCCACCAGAATCTCAGAATGTGACCTTATTTGGAAATAGGGTCTTTGCAAATGTAGCTAGTTAAGATGAGGTCATACTGGATTTGGATGGGCCCTCAATCCAATTACTGGTGACCTTATAAGAAGAGGAGAGGGACACAGGACACACAGAGGGAAGGCGGCCATGTGAAGATGGAGGCAGAGACAGGAGCACCGCAGCTACAAGCCAAGGAACGCCAAGGATCGCCGGCAAACAGCAGAAGCTGAGAGAGGCAGGAATGATCCTCCCCTAGACCTTGAGAGCGAGTGCGGCCCTGCTGACACCTTGATCTTGGACTTCTGGCCTTCAGAACCGTGAGAGAACACATTTCTGTTGTTCTAAGTCGCCCAGTTTGTGGTACTTTGTTATGGCAGCCACATACACTCATATTGAGACACGTGGGAAATGTGTCAGGGGAGTGGCACTTTGTAATTTGTATATTACAGAACAATGTACCACTAAAACAAGTGACTCTTTAGAGTAGTAGAGGCCACAAACCCTTGGCTGGCAGAGTGTGTGGGTTTGAAAACGGCCAGGTCTCTGGAAGGGCTGAGTTACAGCAGGCCTGGGCAGAATCCGCTAGCCGGGTCACCAGCTCCAGATCTGTTGGGATAAAGCATGCGGAGCAGCTCACTGTCAAAGCCCCGGCACGGCAGCTCTCTGGGGCTGTGCCAACTAGTCCAGAATCCAAGACCTTCTGTTGTGAGGACCAGAAGTCACCCGCCCAGCCTCCCACCCACGGAACACACCCTGGTGCCCCAGATTTGTAACGAGCCGCCTCCCACAGCTGTGTTCCCGCCTGATCTCTCTCTCTTCCCTCCCGGCCCTGGCCCATTAATCCATCTAAAGAATTCTAAAACGTTTTTAAACTGTGGACTCTTTCAAGCATATAAGAAAAGTCCTGCAAATGAGAACGATTATCCATCTTCCCAGCAAGCAGCTCCAACCCCTCTGAACGCCGTGCACTTCAGATTCCTTTTTAGAGAAACGCATCGCTAGAGGCAGCTCACTCCTTCCGTTGTCCTCAGTCTCCCCCCTGCCCAGGTGTAACTGCTAGCCCATGTCCCGCATGTGTATGTGTCTGCAAATAATACGTAGCACTTTCGCATGATTCTTTGTGCAAACAGTCACTTTACATACACAATATTTTTACCGTTAACTGTAACTTTACATAAACAGTATCAGGCTGGACATGGCACTACACTCAGCCTGTTTTTGAGGTTTATCGTATGGCTACATGCCTCTTGGAGAGGTCTGTACACTAAAAATGCTCAAAAACCAGAGCAAATCAATGCTTGCAATCTAAGAAAAGTGGGAAATGGTCATTGGCAGGTCCTGTCTCCGTGGACAGCCCCCCACAATCCACCCAGTGGCCCGGTCTACAGCAAGGAAGTACTCACCGAGGGAGCTCACATTCGTTTCCGCAGGAACTCCTCACAGTGGCATGGGATCTGGTGTCCCCTCTGTGGCCAGGTGTTGTGCTGGCCAACGGCTACTTTCTCTGCAGGCTGCTGGGCCGGATGGGGCTGGGCGGGAAGATCCCACCAAACCAGTGCCAAGGTGACCTGATAGCTATTTGAAGCCACGTGACTTGCTGCAAAACTCAAAGTTTGGGCACCAAAGACTAGTGCAAGGGGAAAAAAAAAAGACAAACTCTGATCCAGGAAATAATTTGACAGATCTTTGACCCCTATGGTTTACTCAGTAACTGTAGAAACTTCCTTAGGGCTTGAAAACAGGTTTCTAGAAGGAAACTGGGCTTTGAACCCTAGAACACCAAGGGCAGTTGGCAGGTGCAATAGTTACCCAATGTGTCGTGGGCCCTTCTGGGACACTCACCACAGGGCAAGACCCCCTGCCACCCTTCTTCTGAGTCTCCTTACCCAGAGACCTGCTGGACAGGGGCGTGGATGGGAAAGGGCGCAGGAGTCTTCCTAGACGAGGGAGAGAGAGGAGCCAGCCTGAGAGCAGGAGTTCTGTCTCACTGCCCTTTGGCGGCTCCTTCCTGGTTTCTTCAGGGGAAGAGTTGATGGATGCTCACGAATCAGGGTTTTATGGGTTGAATTGTGTCCCCTCCCAAAAGATATGTTGAAGCCCTAACCCCCACTACCTGTGAATGTGACCTTATTTGGAAATAGGGTCATTGTAGACATAATCAAGATAAGGCGAGGTCATTAGGACAGGCCTTAAATTTGAAACGACTGGTGCCCTTATAAGAAGAGGAGAAGAGACAGAGACAGACTCACAGGGAGAAGGTCATGTGACAAAGGAGGCCAAGATTGGAATGATGCACGTACAAACTAAGGAAATCCAAGGATTTCTGGAAACCCCAGAAGTTCAGAGAGAGGCATGGAACAGATTCTCCCTGAGGCCTTCAGAGGGAGTGTGGCCCTACTGATACCTTGATTTTGGACTTTTGGCCTCCAGAACTATAAGCAAATAAATTTCTGTTGTTTTAAGCCACCCAATTCATAGTGATTTATTATGACAGCCTAGGAAACTAATACACAAGGGCAAAGGGAATTTGAAAATTGGCTAAGTCCCGGAGTGCCCATCCACATCCAAGGAAGAGCCGTCAACCCGCATGCTTGAATGGAAGGCTCTCGAGCTCCACCCGATAGAAGTTTGCATCACTGGAGTTCGACCATCTGAATCAGGATGACTTTCCACCCTGCATCAGGATCAGCTGTATAAACCACGGAGCCCAGTTCAAAGTGAAAATATGGGCCCTTTGTAAAAAATACTCAGAACTTCAAGACAGAGACAGCAGGGCGTTAAACCAAGTGCAGGGCCCTGGGTACAGGTTGCACACCTATGAAGCTGGCCTTGCTTTGCATTATCAGGCGGTCTCCAGGCCCCCACTACGTAATTTATGTCTAAATTCCAAGCTTGACCAAGTGATTCTTTTGAGATGATCATTGCCCTTCTGTGTAGTTCTCTTTTAAGCCCTCCTGGGGGAATAAGCATTCACTCTTAGCACCTAGGGGTGGGTAGGCTTGTCAAGCCTGGAGATCCCTGGGGAGGGGTGGAGCGCCAGGTGGGACCCACCTTCTCTGTGGCTGCCAGGCTGGTGGCCTGGGGGCCAGGACAGGGCTGGAGTCCAGAGCAGCTCACCGTGTGACAGTGGAGAAATGGCTCAGCCTCTGGGCCTCCACGGCAGAGGATTCTCACTGGTCAACTACCCAAGGACCAAGAACAGAGGAGCGACTCCAGGAGCAGCCCTTCCATGCCAGATCTGCCCTGCCTGGTGAAGGCCATGGTCTTTGTTTGCCCAACTGTCTGTCCTTCTGGAAATGGGGCGGGCAGCAATAGGATCTCATGAGCCCAGCCCCAGTGCCTGGCCAAGGGGACCTGGCCCTGGGATCTTTGCCCAGGATTTGTCTATGTGAGAACTAGGTCTCCACCCCTCAC